TGGAAAATCAGGGTCGGTTCCATGCTAACCTCGGGGATGATTGAGTGTGATCGAGCTCATATGTGGCTTAGGCTCGCTACCTAAGCTGTGAGACTCTCACTACCAAGCTTGATTATCCTGACTAAAGCCCCAGGGTTTCTCATGATCAGTTGAGCTGGACACGTAATTATGAGTATACTATCGCAAGGCGGTGAAAGGTTCTAGTGAAACTCCTGATCCTTCTTGAAAAAAAAAGAGAAAATAAAAAGTGGTTTTGGGATCCCCATGGTCTTGCATACTAGGATGTGTCCTAGAAAAGATTAGTGGATACATTGCATTCATAATATCATATCATTTGTGTGCTGATTACTAGTATGTTTGTATGTGTAATTTCTAATTAACTCAATGTTATTTGCATGCTCTAAGTGAATATCAAGTTGTCTTACCCTTTCTGTGCATGTATTGTTGTTATGAAATGTTTGCATAGGTGACATTGAACACAACTCATCTTCGGTATCATCTCCAAGTAAAGTTTAAATACGATCACTGCAAGTACTAAGTAGAGGACTTGATCGGATACCACTACAGTACTACAAGAGATACTTCATTTTAGTGGACGTACGAAATATATCTCCTCTTTAGTTAGGTTGTATATTTAGTTTGTCTACTCTGGTCTTGTGAACCCTTGTTAGGTGTATTTTGGGATGACTTTGTGTATATTTACTATTTGGTTATACTTGATACTTATGAATGATATGTATATTAATCACTAAGTGTATGTTCTATTTAATGTGTACCTTACTTCTACAAGAGTGTATTGGTAATCAAATACTAAGAGGAACCAATAATAAGTAATAAATCATAATAAAGTGAATGTTGGTATTAAAGGTGTCACAGGTATGACATTAATAACTATTGTTTTTACTCAAAAATAAAAGATGATAAAGATAGAGTACAAAATAGTGGGGTCACAATTCAAGCTGAATCTATGCACTTTTCTAGTTCTAAAGACAAAAATCCTATCACAGCTTCTATGAGTTATTTTGGGGTCATACAAGAGATATGGGAAATTGATTATGTTACTTTTAGGGTGTCTGTCTTCAAGTGTAAATGGGTTGAAGGGAATACGGGTGTACGAATAGATGACCTCGGATTTACTTTGGTTGATTTGAGTAAATTTGGGTATAAGGATGAACCTTTTATTATGGCATATCAAGCGCGACAAATATTTTATGTCAAGGATCCATGTAATGAGAGATGGTCAATTGTCCTTGAAGGAAGAAGCATGCACGAAATTCATGAAGATGAGTCTCTAGATATACATGAAACACCTACATTTTCAAGTAGACCATTTGATGACATAGTTGACAATGAAGTTGATGACATACATTCAATTCGAAGTGATCATGATGAAGGGATATGGGAAAACAGACAAACATAATAGGTGTTTATCTTCACATTTTTCTAGTTCTTTTTATTCAAACTTATAAAGTATGTTGAATTCATATTGTTTTGTTTTTCAGGATATGTCAGATTTTACATCTGGTAGTGGTAGTGGTAGTGGCAGGAGCGGAGGTGGAGGTAGAGGTAGATTTGTCACTTGGTTAAAGGGGTTGACAGCAAGGAGGGTAGCTAGAGAGAAAACTCAAGTTGAAGTTGATCCACGTTCTGGTAAGGCATCTAGCCCAAATGTTGCTAAGTTTAAGAGCTATTTGGGACTACTAGCTCGACACCATGTTCCGATTACTACTCCATCTTGGGATGATGTAGAGGAAATCGAGAAGAACCTCATGTGGCAGGATGTTCAGGTATTTCTATATTTGTTGAATACTTTATATATCATTATTAATTGAATTTAACATTTATTGGTCATTTCACAGCAAAATTTTGAAGTTCCTAACACTGAGGTGATGAGGAAGAAGATTTTATCCTCCATTGCCATTAGATGGAGGGACTTTAAGACTTTCTTGACATGGGAGTATGTATTTGGAAAGTTTCAAGATAAATCTCCCTGTATAAAGTATCAAATTAGTGAGGAGGGTTGGTTACAGTTTTGTACCAACTGAATGGACCCCTCTTGGTAGGATAAAAGACGTGCTGCCCAACAGCGTCAGAGGTTGAATGATGCACCCCATGTATTGTCACGAGGAGGATATGCATTATTGGAGCAACGTCTCATGAAAAACAAGAGAAGAGTCAGTAGGAGTTGAGTCTACTGACCTTGCATCTCCACCCCGTCGCTATGAGATGTGGAAGGCAGCCCGGACAAAATCTGATAGACAAATGACTTCTGTGTCTGCACGAATCATTGCTCAAAAAATCGTAAGTTATAATGTCAATTTTAATTGATTCTGATGTGAAAGTTAGTGTATGACTTAGTTATTGTTAATGTGTTGTAGGATGATTTAGTTGAGCAGACCACCCAAGGATCATTTATTCCTCATGGTCAACAAGATATATTGGCGACAGCCATAGGAAAACCAAATTACTCAGGATGTGTGCGTGGTGCTAGTGGATCCTGGGGCCTTCGTGATGGACCACTGCCGACTCTTGCAGCCAGGAGGCCTTGCATAAAATGGAGATGCAGTTTGAAGAAAAGTTAAATCAAATAAGGCTGTCCTTGAAGTAAGAGTTTGATGAGAAACTTGAATCTCTCGCCCGCTCTCAGCAATAGACTCAAGGAAGACCTCAAACAATTGAACATGATGTTGTTTGAGTTAGCACTAAAGGGAGTTGTGCTGCTACTGCTGCTGATCCTTCAGGAGAATATACTCAGACTGATGCACCACACCAGTGTGTGTTATATGTTGAAGATGACCCCCCGCGTCTAGTGGCTATTGGTCGAGTTTTTGAGGGTGGCTTAACCATCCATGGTGTCCCTCTATAGGCAGACTGGACACGAGTAGTAGTTGATGAAGTTCATGATGCTAATGCTCCAGTGCCTTTTCCTAATGAAGAGATTCAATTAGTGGGGCAGGCAAGCGGGACATTCTTGACTTGGGCAACACGTTTGGTTATGCCACTATCAGCACGGACCAAGGTAATATATATATATATATATATATATATATATTGTCTATTTTCTCTTTTCTAGTATTATAATTATATAAATGTTTAATTAATTGTTATCATTTGTTTAGGAAGACTTGCATCGTGCTAAGCATAAAAAACAACCTATTATTGATGAGGACATGACAAAATGTGATGATGATCCCATCTCTATGTTGTTGACCATATTACCACGGTTGAGGAAGAGATCGTGTCAGATACAATGAGATGTTAGAGTGTTTGGAATTGACAATTCCAGTGTTCCATTATACATTTCCTTGCCCGATGCATTAGAAATTGCTGGGGGAAATTGCATGTTAAACATTTCCATCATACAATTGTGGGCAATGTAAGTTATTTTCATTTATGTTTCTAAGATTATAATAATTATATTCAACTTATAATTAATTTTTTTAGGTACCTTGACAAATTGAGTGTGGAACAAGAAAAATCCGAAGTATACGGATTTATTGAGCCTCGATCCATCCAAAAATCTGAAATACAAAGGTTGGAATCCAACAATATATGAAAACATGAATGAGTGACTCAAAAAGACATATATATTTGGCTCCATACATTGAAGGGTCAGTATTTCAATTTGTATTTTAATTTATATTTTTATAACTAATTTTTATGTCATACAATGTAGGTCCCATTGGTAGTTAATTGTAATCATGCCCCGGGATTACACTCGTGGTGTGGTTTTGTTCATTACATCGGAAACCGAGTCAAGAAATGAAAAGCTTATTACAAGGGTAACTTTATCTTTTATTCATTAATTACGTTTTTAAATTGTAAATACATATTGAATAATATATGACTTTTTTTCACTTAGAATCGTGTCTAGAACTAATGTTCTAAGTGGAAAACCTAGAACAAAGACTTTGCAGTTCATTTATCCTAAGGTTAGAAACTTATTTGTATAAGTGAATACCATAATTATTGTTTGTATTTAAATTTTGAAAATAACATTATGTTTTATTCATCATTTCAGTGTAATAAGCAAACAAACTCATTTGAATGTGGTTACTATGTTATGTATTGGATGAGAGCCATAGTTTGTGCGGGTATAATTGATTCTTGGACGGAGGTAATTGCTTTTAACATTAGTTAAGTTTATTTAACTTTATGCATGTTGCATGTTTACAAAAGTCAAATTAATGTTTCAGGTGTTTCAAGATCCATCTCCATTGTCAGAATATGATATTACACAAATTAGAGAACAATGGGCAAAGTTTTTCGTTCAACAACTCTAGTACATAATTTTTTAAGTTATTGTTCATATTATATTGTGTGTATGTCGTTTAGGTAGCTTAGTTTGTACTAACTTTTAGTTTGTAATAGATTTTTTAGTTTGTATTATATTGTTTTATTATGTAGTTTGAATTATATAATATTATATTTTTAATTTACTAACTAAAGAAACTTGAACCTCTGGATTGTCCGGTTGTAATATATATTTGCAGTGTTTTAGTTGTAAGACAAAATAAATCCAATTTTAAAAAAAGCAGCAAATTTATGTTGCGTATACCAATATGCGACGTAAATTTATGTCACGTATACCATATGTGACGTAAATTTGCTTATTTTTTTTTTAATTTTTGAAACTTTTTATGTCTGTTTAGTAGTATATGCAACGCAAAATTACGTCAGGTCTTGATAACTGACATAAATTTACGTCGGACTAAGGGGTCCAACGTAAATTTACGTCTCCCGTTTTAATGTCGGTCTTAAATACGATGTAAAAAGCCCTAAATAGCTGACGTGAAAGCCCCTTTTTTCACTAGTGTCGGTGCCACCTAGCATCCAAATCTTCCTCCCTTTTTTTTTATGCTTCACCTGTAGTCACTGTGAACCGCTGCTCGAGGCCACTATGGTCGCACCACCATTGAGCCACCTCTCCCTAGCCACCACCGTGGCACCCCAACCAAACCTGCTTCTCCCCTCACCGGAGTCGCAACCCCCAAATCACCCTACCGCGCCTTCGCCTTTTCCACCCTTCCTTCCTCTCCATTGTAAACTCCACTCTCACGGTCTCCACCCTCAACCCTAGCACCGAGCAGTGCAACCCCCATCGTGGCCCATACCCGTTAGCACCACCGTGAGCCACCGCAAGCCAGATTCACGCCCAGTTGCGCCAAGCACTCACCGGTCACCCTCAACGAAGTAGCGCACCACCACGGAGCCCCGACCACGACTCGCCCCACGCCGACCACCGTGAATCATCCCAGTCTCGCTTTGTTGCACCACTGTTGACTGAAAAGGGGATGGCCGAATGCCTCTCCCTGTGAATCGCTAGGCAACATGAAGCCTGTGGAGGAGATCAAGTGTCTCTCAAGTTTGCTCCTCTCTGATTTCTTATTTCTGCCTTTGTTTGTTATATGTTTGTGCATCTCTGTCCTGGATCATTTGTTTGCTCTCTCGTTTCCTTCTTGGTCTTGTTTGAATGAGGAGTGGACTAGGATCTCAGGTGGAAATCGAAACCAGAGACATTATTGGGTACAAAGTTCATTTTCTTTGCATTTTGTTGTTTGTGGTTTTACTTCTGTTTGATTGGTAGCATCTATGGGGAAACCTGTTGTTGAGTTTATTGTTCTCGACTATTGATTGCTTTTGTCTGTGATTGGATTGAGTTGGGGGTTATTTTTTTTTCTTATGGGCTGTTTTGGACTGCTATTAAGGACTGTGGGTCCTATTCGGACTATGTTGTTGTGATGCCAAATTCTCATAAGTTGTGGCAAGATGCACTTATTCATAGTTGAGTTTGTTTGTTCATTCTTTATTTTGTTATTTTGTCTTGTAAATATTTTGGTTTCTTATTTTAAATGTAGTGTAATTACGGGGGGAATTACAAGCTTTGGGTGACTCTAAGAGTTATTTTATCTATGTGTGATCATGTGCAACCATGGTCTAATTAAGATAGGGTTGCAGGATTGATCTAGGATTTTGGTTTGTTGTGCATTCTAATTTTAGACTTTACTGATTTATATCAGACTGCACTGATTGTATTATTTAGATTGGATTGGATTATTGGATTGGTATGGTCGGATGTGTCTTTGAAATAGAAAAAACAATAAAAATACAAATTTCCTTAAAACCCAAAACAAAATTCAAAATTCTTTCAAAAACGTTAAAATATTTCAAAACATTAATCAAACATATAAACCTTTTTTATCAAAGAACTATGTATCCCTGATTTCTCATTATGAACGAAAATACGTAGGAGCAAGGTCGATCCTTGTCGGGTCCCAAAAAAATTAAAAATATTTTAGTTCATTATTTCTTTTTTCCTTTTTCTTTCTTTATTTTCTAATTTTTGGGGGAAATAAATATTTTTAAAATGACATTTAATCTCGCGTATTCAACTAAGGGTAACCGTCTTAGGACGAACATTGTAGGGTGTTAATATCTTCCCTACACGTAACCGACTTTCGAACCCGAATATGATTTTTGTAGATTTTGTCTTATCTTTATTGTTTTTTCATAGTTTTTGGAAATAAACTATGATGGCGACTCCAACATTTTAATTTATTTTAGATCTTTTCTTTTAAAATTTTTTTTGGTTTGTCGTCTCGCCGTGATTTCGGTTGCGACGTATGCGAGGACATTAGATATGGATCATCCTTGCAGAAAGAAAAGCATGCACATATATAAACATATCATGCATATGTACATATTGTCATTGATGGCCATGTACGTGGTGAACTATATTGTAAGAATTGGCCATAGAACATGGGTATAAATGATGATATTAGAGTAGTTATTCTGTAGAAAAAACCAAGTGCAGAGGCAAGTACATTAGTCCTTGTTCTAATCAAATACTTATTACATTTATATAAGAAAAAAAGTATAAATTTTTTTATGAACTAAAGATTAGTTTTATATAATTAAAGTAAAATTTTTAGAATATATTTATTCTTTTTTGTTGAATGTTGTACTAACCATATTTGATCTTTTCATGAAAAAAAAGAGAGATAATGTGATCTAGTGAAGATGGAGAAGAAGAATTGATTTTATCATCAATTTTATTGTGCACAAGCAGTTTGGCCAAACAATAAACGGGATAAGATAGATTTGTAATCTTTTAAAATATAAATTGAAATATTTTTCGTATTTATTTAATTTTATTTTAATATATAAAAGTGTAGTTATCATGTGGAAAATTGTCTAATTTTAATAATATTTAAATTAATTTTGATGTGATCTATTTATACCATATATATATATATATATATATATATATATATATATATATATATATCTTAATATAATATAATATAATATAATAAGAAGTTTATTTTAATATATATCATAATATAATATAATATTAAAAAAGAAAAACTTGAATGACAAAATATAGTGATATTTTATTTAAAATTAATTATTAATTTGGTCAATAATTTGATTACTAAATCAGTCGATTCGGTCACTGATTCGGCCACTGAAATCAGCGACCAAGGAAAAAGTGATCGATTTGAGTTGGTTACTATTTCAGTCACTATTTTAGTAAGTGACCGAAAATTCGGTCACTATTTGATGCTTTTAATAATTTGAATCGAATCATTGCTTGGTAACAGCACGTGAAGAAGATATTGTTACGGTCTTCCATAATAGCAACACTTATTATTTGCAGTAGTAACCATTTATAAGACAGCTATAACCATGTATGAACAGTTGGCAGTTGACATTTATGTATAAATCCTTAACTCTGAAAAATGATGGTGATGAATATGAATCTTAATATAGAAATCCTTATTGTTTGCAGTATTCTTCTCTTGTCAACGTAGTTCAGATTCCTATGATATGAGATAGCATCTCAACTTCTCCAACATGACAAACATTATTAAGAGAGACTTAAAATACAAATTTACAGGCCACCATGAATACATGAAGTGCAATGAGAGTTTATGGTGATGGTGACATAGCATTCTCTCCTTTCATTCTTTCATAACTATGTTTTCTTTGTTTAGATATGAGAGCTTCTTATAAAAACCATAATTTTATAGCTCTAAATAAAAACTTTAGTCAAACCTTTAGATTCTAAACCAAAATGTCAATAAAAATTCATTGTATTGAACAACTATTTTCTTATGTGTATTTCTACGTTAACTTTATTATATAAAAGTCATGTATATGTCAAAATATTTTGGTAAACAATTTCAAAGATGTTATGGAAGAAGATACTTACCGAATTGAAATTTTATTAGTTGAACTGAATCATTATAAATTTAAATTAGTAAAAAGCAAAAATTTAACTGAATGTTATGTTATGAGTTAAACAGAGTGTACACAAGTTTAAAATGAGTGCATTAAAAATTTTAATTCTTTTTTGTGACACTCAAAGATAATGATAATGCTTGGAATCTAAAGTTTTGACTAAGTTCCCTTTTCTAAAGTGATAGAATTATTGTTTTAAGAAACTCTTCTCATAAAACAAAGAAAACATTTATGAGAAAGAAAGGGAAGAATGTTATGTCACTGCAATCTAACTAGTTTATGTACATTGTAGGTGATAACATATTTTGCCATCACCATTAATGTTTCACATATGCACTTCAAACACCTAAAATTTTGAGTCTTGCGTGAATGTTAAAAAAATTGAGATGCTATATTGAACAAAAATGGTGATATTATTCTTCAATTTATCAAGAATTTCGATTTTTGGGAAGTATCATGGTAATCCAATAATAAGGGTTTCCTTTTTTTCAAATGAAAGATTTGAAAACCTATTGATTCTAATAACTGATTCCATAGTGGATCGTTCGGACCTTTCAATTCATAGATGTGGATCTCGGACCTATGAATCAGGATACCCCAAAACCCACAAAAAAAAAGAAGGAAGTGAGTTAGACAAAAAGAGAAGAAACTTGGGAAGAAAAAAGAAGTAACTTGGACAAAAATAAACAAAGTGACTTAGACAAATCTTTTTTGTCGATAACCTCAAATCAATCAATCGAATATTGATTAATATGTAATTGATCGAACACTACTTGAAAGCGGCTATTCTACTCATAAATGAAATAGTCCAAATGTTCCTGGAAATTCTTGCTCCCATTGGATCATTTGTATCTATATGCATTAGGATCCCGATTCATAGATCTCTCCGTTCGAGAAATAAAAATAAGAGGATCGAACCATTTCTTCTGACTCTTTTTTAAATTTGATAAATGTTGGTTGATCGTGTATTTCATTATAGTTCGATGATTCAGAGTATCATTTCCTATTTGATACCTTTGAATTCCATATTCGAAGTTGCAATTGAATCGATTCAATACATTTCTTATGTAACCATGGGTGCTATATTGGATTTGAATCAGATTTCGGATCAATCTATATTGATTGACTGCCTCCATTATGTTGTTGCTAGCAAATACAACTATTTTAGGTTTTGGATCTTCCAAATTATTCCCGCAAGAGGTCTGGACCCATTTTTTTATGATCCTTCGATAAAAAGATTCATTCTCTTCATAAAAAAGAGGAGGTAGAACCAATAAAGAGTGCTTTTTCGATTCATCCCTGGAGTTCAATAACAAATGTTTTTGATCCAATCCGGAGGAATCAATAGAAAAATCAAATTCCTTATGATACACCAGATCCGGCTCGGTTATTGATAGAGTGAATAGATCTGCCATTTCTTGAAATATATCTTCTGATTCAAAATCGTGGTGTAACGTGTATCTCCCCCTGTTCCGGTCATGGAATAGATGAAATAAACCCCAAAATGGATTTTTGTTCAAGAATGAAATCTTATTGGAACTGTCCAGTTCACCCTTTGGAACCATATCACATCCTCGATATGATGAAATAGGATGAATTGAGACGGTATTTTGTAAGTACATAATTATCTTGAAGAAATTCACTATTTCTTTCTTTTCCGATCGCCTGGAAAGAGCAAGATGTTTCGTTTGTTCTTTTTTCAACAATTTCTGATCTCTAGTAGACCTATCAGTAGGATTCGAACCCAGATGAAGTTCTGACCATCTGTCAGAGAAAAAAGAACGAGTGGCTCTTGCAGGATTCCCAAGAAATTCTTCGATTTCTTCCGGAAGCAGATGATTATTCATCTGCTTCTCACGTTCCATGAATAGTCGGCACATTGAGGAATATCCAGAAAGGATTTTAAGGAATCGCTCTGATTCTATCTCTGTTCGTTCCGTTTGAAGAAAGGAAGGATCCCATCAAAGAATCGATCTTTCTTTTAGTTGTTGAATCTCTCTTTGATTGATCAATGTGTGATATTTCGAATCCTCATTCCTAATGGAATCGAAATAATCCTTGGATTGATCAGAAGATCCTTTCAATTGGCTAGAATCCGTTACTTGAATGAAACTAGATCTCGTGGAATCATATTGAAGATTTGATGATACATTCCGTACCTTGCTAAAAAACCGATCCTTGTTTCCCAACCACACATTGTCTAACCAAATCCAATTCTCTCTTGACATGTTCCTCAAAAAATCCGATTCGTGCGGACTCTTCCACCAACTAACGAAGAGATCTTGACGGAATTGCCACATATGAAATTGAGCACAATTTTGCAAAGAAATAGCCCGCTTGTTTCTCAAGAAGAGATGGGAAACATGCTCAATATCATTTGATTGAATAATTGACCCAGTCCCTTGTTGTTTGAAGAAACCCTCCACTTCCTTTGGTATTTTTTCACGAAAAGCAAACATGAGATAATAAATCCAGTCTTTCACTAAGATTTCGAATAGCTGTCCCGAATTCAAGTTGATTATGTTTCGCCTCTTTCTCGGGGAAAGACGATCAAAAAATTCCCAATCATGGTCCTTACGGATCGGATCATCCATATAATATACAAAAAGGAACTCCAGATATTTGATATCTTTCTCTTTGAATGAGATCTCAATTCCAGCGATGGTTTCATTAGATATCTTACAACTAGAATCGCTCTTTTTTCCTATCCAGTTCCTCCACCACCGCGAACCCCAGTTAAATTCAGGCATGATATACTTTTTAGTTATTGGGAGAACCCGAGTACTCTCTTTCGGATCCAGGAAAGAACTCTCAGAGATCTTTTTCCTTTTGGAAGATACAGGAGCGGAACAATCAACCTATTGATATTGGAAGAATCAGATGATTCTTCCAATGTATCATTTTTGGGTCCAATGGAATTCATAGGTATAGGAAGAAGCCTTGTCAAATAGGGATTTTTTCTTTCGACCATTTTTCGATTGTTAATACGATATATAAGGACCGCTACTACAAAGAGTACTACATACTTGATCGTGAAATATCGATTGCTTGTTGAACCCTGTGAATTGCGTGAAAGTAGGATACTCCAAATTCGGGAG